AGAAAATCAGAAGTCAGTTGGATCACTTTAGACCTGAATAGTGCAACAAGTGGTTAAGGCAAATTTAATAAATCAGGTTAAATTCAGACACCATTTAATAATAATAATAATAATAATAATAATAATAATAATAATAATAATAATAATAATATATATATATATATATATATATATATATATATATATATATATATATATTTAGTAATGTTCACCTAATTCGATTTAACACACAGCTGTTTGTTTTTTGCAATCTGCATGGAAATGTTACATTACAATTGCTGTTTTATCTCATTGTTTCGAGATGACTTGAGCAAGATATTCCATCCCCGAGCTATTTGTATGTTGTTACGTAATACGCAATTGACAGGCAAATGCTCTTGCATGCTGCTCTCTTTGACGTGCCATAAATGAATTATTTTCAAGAAACAGTTCAATGATTGTCTTGATGTAAGCCAGCACAATGATTTAAGGAACAGTTCATTATTTACACTCTGATCTTCATGTCATTCTAAACCCGCATGACTTTTGTTCTTCTGTGGAACATAAAAGGATTTTTTAAAGCTTTCAAAAGCATCAAAGGGGATCTGGACCCACCATAAAAGTGGTTAAAATTAGTCTATACGACTCACGCACTCTTTTGAACTCATACAAATCGACTTTGTGTGGCAAACGGACTAAAATATTAAAGTTATTGCGCATTGGCAAACCTAATTTCAGTGAGTTGAACATTAGGGTATATGTTTGTTAGCACATTTTTTCTGCTGTAAATTTATTGCAAATTGTACACTGCTCAAAAAATAAAGGGAACTGGTAAACAAAACAATCTAACTCAAAGACAATCACACTTATGTGAAATCAAACTGCCTACTTAGGAAGCAACACTGATTGACAATCAATTTTACATGCTACATGCTACATGCAGTTAACAAGACACTCGCAACAAAGGTGGTGCAGGTGGTGACCACAGACCACGTATCAGTTCCTATGCTTTCGGGCTGATAATAATAATATAATAACTCCTTACATTTATTTAGCACTTATTTGGGCACTCAAATTGCTTTACACATAGAGGGAATCTCCTCATCCAACACCAGTGTGCAGCATCCACCTGGATGACGCGACGGCAGCCATTTTGCGCCAGACCGCACACCACACACCAGCTGATTGGTGGAGAGGAGACAGAGTGATGAAGCCAATTATGATATGGGGATGATTAGGAGGCCATGATGGACAGAGGCCAGTGGGCAGATTTGGCCAGTATGCCAGGGTGAAACCCCTGCTCTTTTTCAAAGGAATGACCATGATGACCTCGGTTTAACGTGTCATCCGAAAGACGGCGCTCACTGAGCAGTATAGAGTCCCCGTCACTATACTGGGGCAATAGGACCCGCACAGACTGCAGAGGTTGGGTGCCCCTTGCAGGCCTCACTAACACCACTTCCGGCAGCAACCTAGCTTTCCCATGTGGTCTCCCATCCAGGTACTGACCGGGCGCAGCCCTGCTTAGCTTCAGTGGGCGACCATGTGAGAGTAACAGAGAGCTACGTGCCGATGTTGTGGTCACTTTGCTGGCAGTGCTTTCACTCTAGTGGTAGTATGAAACAAAGTCTACAACACACACGAGTGGCTCAGGTTGTGCAGCTCATCCAGGACGGCACATCAATGTCTGTCAGTGTTGTGTCCAGAGCATAGAGGGACTACCAGAAAAGTACATAGGCTAGTACATCAGGAGATGTGAAGGAGGCCGTAGGAGGGCAACAGCTTAGCAGCAGGATCACTACCACCACATTTGGACCACTACCAGAGCCCTGAAACATGACCTCCCGCAGGCCACAAATGTGCATGTGTCTGCTCAAATGGTCAGACTTCCCGTGGGTGGTATGAGGCCCTGATGTCCACAGTTGTGGGTAGTGCTCAGTGCTTAATTTGTGAATTGCGAGGTCCCGGAACAGATTGGGGTAACAGATCTGGCATGTTACCCGAGAATGTAGAGGTGCCGTGCATGGAAGGGCTGTCGCAGATGCAAGTGAAGAACGGGAGGGGGGTAGGGAAGAGAGGTATGGTGGGGCGTTGGATGGCAGAGGGATGTTGCCAACCCAAGCTCATTCTGGAAACGTAGCCCCGCGGACGTTTCTGGAGACCGCGATTTACGTGGCCGGAGGTACGTAAAGGCCGCGTTTAGTTTTTTTCGAACGAACGCTGCGGGGTGGTGTGGCGCCACTCCGCCCCTCCTCTTCGCGCTCGCCGGCCGACGGCTCGCCTCCGAGTGGAGGGCTTTCCCAATGCAATCAGTTTGTCCGCTTAGCTCACAGCGTTGCGTCGGCGGAGCGGAGGCCCCGGAGGAGGAGCCGGCCGCGGTGGACGACGACCGGGATCGAGTCCGGGGAACAGCAGGTTCCGGAAATCAGGTAAGACGAAAAACGGAATCCGAAAAATAAGGGCGAGAACGCGGTGGGATCCGAAAACGTGGTCGAAATCTAAGACGAGGGCTTTTGCTTTTTTTTTTTTTTTCTGGACGGCTTTTGCGAACCGTCGCTCGGGTTTAGGAAAGGAGGAGGAGGAGGAAGAGGAGGGCGGCCGAGTCGGCCGATCCAGCGGCTTTTCGTGCGAGACGGCGCGCGCTCCCGAGACGCGAAAAAACGGGCACAGCGGCCTCTCGCGGATCCGCGAAAACAAAAAACGCTCAAATACGTACCTCCCGGGACGTAAATCGCGGTCCGCAGAAACGTCCGCGGGGCTACGTTTCCACAATGAGCCCGGGTTGGATGTCGCGGATGAAAGTAAAGAGGGTTGGGGAGTCGCAGAAGAAAGTGAAAGTGCAACAGAGGGCGGTTGAGGAGGGGGATCAGTAAAATGAGGTGCCAGATCCGATTTCAGAGGTGCCGGATCTGGATCTGGCATGTTCGGCACAAAATAAGCCCTGGTTGTGCTTAAAGCCCAACATCATGCAGGACGTTGGGCATTTGCCAGAGAACACCAAGATTGGCAGATCGCCACTGGCGCCCTGTGCTCTTCACAGATGACAGGTTCACATATATATATATATACACATATATGAAATGCTGTTTATATGTATTGTGTGTAATGTGTATCAAAGTATTCAAAGCTTGAACTATTTTTGTTCAAACTTTCAGAATCAACAATTAGTCATTCTGTATAATGACAATATTTCAGATGTGCAATTATTTATAGAAAGGAATAATCAATATACTAATTGAAAATACTTGATTTAATAATAATAATAATAATAATAATAATAATAATAATAATAACTGATTCATTGGAAATATCAGATCAAAATAATAAATCATTCACAAATAACAACTGACTTTCAAAACTCCCTTCAGGGTTGATTATACTCGGTTACTTTCCTCCAAAACTGCATTAAAACCAAGACTGTACAATTTTTTTTCTGAATCATGCCATATATATTGCATACTTTTTGATTCATTGGCTTACATAACGCTTCTCCTAGTAAGTCTCAACAGTAGACGTCAAATCTGATCTCAGCGATGCAGTGCTTCAGAGTAACCTTGTCTCAATTAAACAACCTTACCATTAAACGGATTGTGTCATTCATACCACAACAATTAGAATACAGCGAGCAATTAGTCACTCTATTTCCGGGAATGATAACACCCGAACGGCAGGTCGTTAAAATCCCTGTGCTATGTGAGCATTAATGAGCTTGTCACGATGGCACTGATCAGACCAATAAATGCGCCATACTCCCATCTAGCGGAGAAAAAAGAAAACCAGTAGGCACTTCACAAGGATTTAATCTTTCTTGAGTAGTCGACAGACCTAATTGCAAAGTATGATACCTAAATGATCAGTTGTTCCTGTGCACAGTAAGAAACTGAATTGCAATGATGTGAAAGACTAAAGACAAAAGTTGGTTGTATTCAAAATAATTGGATGGTTAAAAAAAATTTCACATCAAAATTAAAATGCACTCACTATTTCTACTCTTAGGTTCCAAACATTTATTGCGTTTTTTTCTTCTGTTGAACAAAAAAGACAATTTGTCACCTTAGAATTATAAGGTTCTATCTGACATTTTTTGGCAAAATTGAGTTATTGACATATTCTTATTAAATGACAACCTATTTACATTATGGGATGTTTTTTATAAGTTGTTTACATTTTAAGACTTATAATATATATATATATATATATATATATATATATATATATATATATATATATATATATATATATATGTATATATATATATATATATATATATATATATATATATATATATATATATATATACACTGTTTGCTATGGAATGTAAAAACTTTGAAGCTCAAAATCTCCAAACATTCAAACACGCAGATAGAACCTTATAATTCCAAGGTGACAAAAGTTTTGAAAATGTTGGAAAGCATTCTTAGCAGGAAAAAGAAATATTGTGGACACCCATTTCCAGGATTTTACTAAATATCTTATGTTGTGTTCATCAGAAGAAATTCAAACAGCTGTGAAACAAGTAGAGATTGTGATATTTAAGTTATTTTCCTTTCTTTTTGGGCGAACTACATCTTTAAATTAGCTTCATCACAACATTTTTAAATATCCAATATCTTGGAGGCTATTTGTACAATGTTTTTTTTATTATATATATATATATATATATATATATATATATATATATATATATATATATATATATATATATATATATATATGTTTTATTTTTTTATGAACAAGAACTCATATGAATTAATTCCATCATTCCTTTCTTAAAAAAGGCTGACGAAATCTCACGTCTAAGACTCGTAAAAGTGATTTGTTTTACTCTTCTGTTAGACTTCAATTTATGGACAGTTCTGGCTTTTTTACAGGGCTGTGGTTTAAATGTTCCTCCAGTCATGAAAGTTAATATATTTTTATTCTAGCAGTGTAATTAAGCTTAATTTATTATTCAGTTTTAACCCTTTGAAATAATAAAAAGTGCGTCTGCGTTTTGACGCATTTATGCGCGCTCGATGCAATCTCTCCATGACGTGAATGCAATAATTAGAGAGGCTGTAAATGATTCTCTGAGTAGTTAAATTATTGGGAGGTGATGCTCGTCATACACAGATATTCATTAAAAACTAATTACGGCGCAATGCCGCCATACGGAGGTGTCATTTCGGTCATTCCAATGAGTTGAGAGCTCCGTGAGGACCGTCGATTCCAATCTCGGTAGTTTTGAGGGGCTCTAAACGTGTCCCTTATATTCACGTATAACGACCTGATGCTGGTGACGTCACAAGAGACGCAGAAGTGAGTTTCACAACCCCAAAAAAAAAAAAAAAAGCGCCGTGGTGGCACGCGCACAGTGGCTCGCGCACACGCGGCAGTAGCAGCCTCAAATGAGCAGCTCGCGCTGAAAAGGCTCCCTCGTTTTGACTGGCTGCGCAGGTAAGACCCGCTGGATTTAGACAGGCCACGTCCAGAAAATCCAAAAGTATTCTTAGGCACCGTGTAATAAAAGAAACTTCTCTTTATGATCGGCAGAAATACGACGAGCAATGGATTATATTTGATTTGAGCGCACGCATGTTTGTCGTGTAAATATGTTGGCTTGCCGAAAAGTGGACATGCAAAACGCGTAAGGATCTGTAATTAAACGACCACTGAAGATATTTAATAAGAGGATACCGGAGCTCTGCTGACAGAACGACTCTGAGGTATTGCATGCAGATACAAGGAGCCTTTGAGCAGCCCTGGAGAACTTGTTAGGCATACCAAGAAGCTCCACAAGAGGCGAATCCTTTTTGAGCGATTTAATGAGCCTAGCGAGGAAATATTTTGTGGATGACTCTTCTTTAATATGCGGGGATTTATGTGCAACCTCGTGAGCTTTGATGAAAGCAAACACGTCTTAATGCATAAGGAGAAGACATGTAGAGACGAATAGCTCCCCATTTGTTTCCTGATTCAGCACCCCTTTTGGAGACAGCGAGAGACGCGGAACCAACCGAAAACAGGATAATTTCAGCCTAAATCATGATCGCGCGGATACTCTACTTTTTCCTTTGGTCTGCGGCATTTCTACCCGAGCTGCAGTGCGCTTCTCAGAGAACCGCGGACGCGCTCACTACTTTTCCCACGTCCGCGTTCATCAACGGCACCGACAGAAAGGACTCCAACCAGACCTCCACATCTCGGATCAAACGGAAGACGCTCTCGGTGGATTTCGCCGTCCCGTCGCTGCTACGCTACTACTTGGCTCTGTTTATCAAACGACCGCTCAACGGAGACTGTCTGTCGTTTAATGGATGTTACACGGTGCGCGCGAACTTGCTCATGCGCTGCGTGCCGCTGCAAAAAACCATCGCCGGTTTGCTCGATGCAAAGTTGGCCGCGATGAACGTCAACAGATCCAGCACTGGACAGCTCCCGTATCGACAGAAGCGGCCCGTGCCGAAAGTTTTGAATTTGGGGTTGACCAGCGCCAGTCGAAAGTCTAATCAAGTTGTGGTGGAGGTTGGAGAAGAGATGGTTAAAACGGGATGCGGAGGGCTGCATGTGTACGAGGACGCGCCGGTGGTGTTCCTGGAAATGGACCTAACGCGGATTTTGGAGTGGTGGCTGGGGGCGGAGGGAGGACGGCTCAGGGTCCGACTTATGCCCGAGCGGAAAGTGCAGGTCCCGGGGAAAGAGGACAAATACTCTGCTGCCATCAGAGCTTCGGACGCTCGACTGTTCATACAGATCGCGTCAAGTGGTAAGAATTCAACTTTGCGACTTTTGCGCTGTTTGGTTAAGCAAGTTTAACTTGATTGTGGCCCAGGTCACATCAAGAGATGGTAATGTTTACTATTTCACAGCACTGGAACTATTACTGGTCACTTATTTTAAAATAACTACTACTGTGCAGGTAATCATGAAGATTTACCTCCATGTATTAGTTTACATGTTCCTCGTGATTTAATAATCTTGTCTTTATAGTACAAACACAAATAATACTTTGTATACAATTTGTATATGCAGTTGAAGTCAGAAATATTAGCCCCCTGTTTATTTTTTTTTCCCAATTTCTGTTTAATGGAGAGTTGTTTTTATTGGTTGTATATCGATGGTTTGTTTTGTAGACTATCAGAAAAATATATAGCTTAAAGCTGCTAATAATTTTGTCCTTAAAATGGTGTTTAAAAAATTAAAAACTGCTTTTATTCTAGCCGAAATAAACCTAAAAAGACTTTCTTCAGAAGAAAAAATATTATCAGACATACTGTGAATTTCCTTGGTTTGTCAAACATCATTTGGGAAGTATTTAAAAAAATTATAAAATAAAGGGGGGCTTATAATTCTGACTTCAACTGTAAACAACAGTAAGAAAATTTATACAAAACTGAGTGAAAAAAAAAGAAATAATGAGGAAAAGTTCCTGTGTGTTGGTCATATTGGGATTTGTCACCTCCCCCTTTGTATTCCAGCAGTAATATCAGTCTTGGTAATTCATTGGCTGTTCAAAAGGGTGGCACTGCAACACCAATAAAGGCTACACGGCATCACAGCATGCACAACAAGGGACACTTTTTTTGCAAAATCACACAAGCTGACAGATGCAAATCCCCATTTGATGGCTTTGCCCACTGTAGAATTCAAAACTGCTGACATGGACTGAAAATTGTAGGATTTTCTCATTCAGATTTTACATCAAGATCCTCGGTGTTTACCTATAGCTGCATTGACCACTGGGAAGGCTGTTAAGCAGCTTGTCATAGACATTTGTAATATTCATCTGATGATTAGTTTGCAGGGGAGTCTGGAGGACTATTATTGACAAAAACAGTTTACAACACCTCTTTCCCTAAATGATCTTAAAGAACAAAAACATGCTCTGAGAGACTCAAAACTATAAAGTGCAAAGACCTAAAGAAAATAAAATAAGTTTTAGGAGCACTGTTTTTTTTTATTTTTTTTTTTTTAATCGCTGGTTCTTAACATAGACTTTAGTTCAAAATCATGAATTACTTTCTTTAGAAAGTTCAAGAGCTGCTGACCTTTCCTGTTTTTTGTTGTGGTAGAATTTCTTTAAGCAGTATTACTGATTTTGCAGCATTGATAATACTTGCTTTATCATTGGAAATATATCCTTTGCGTGGTTTTAGGTCAGCAAAATAATTAAATGATGTGTATATGTTACATGTTTTGCACACATGTAGAAATTTGTGCTTTTGCTGCTTTGATTGTGTCACTTTTTTATAGTTTCTTTTGAAAGTTTTCTGATAGAATAATATTTGTTTGGCGATTTGCTTTAAGTTGGACTAAGGTGTCTGCTGAAGCACACATGGTCATTTGGAAGGTCTCTGAAATCCTTTATCGGTGAATGATGTCATTCAAGGCCACTTGTAATTCAAGGATGTCCTTTTAAAGAGCAGATCAATGAAACAATGATGCCATTTTTGGCACTGTGGTCCACATGATTATAGATAAATGCATAATTGATAGTTACAGATAGTCTGGAATATTTTGTATCAGTCCTACTGTGGTTACAGCGAATATAGCTACTACTTGACTCGCTCAAAAAATGCTGCTCTTTCAAAAATGAGACTCAATTCTTGACTTTTTTTTTTAATCATTTGTTAAAAAATAATAATAATAATCACTTGATTGGTGTAACTACCTTGGCTGCATTTTTCCAAAAAGCATTGTACTGTAAGCTACTTGATAAGTAGATCATTACAAAGATCATACAACTGATATTAATGTTACAGACTGTTTTTCAAAAGCATCATAACTTAAGTGGCACTTGAAAATTGCCCTAAATCTTTTGAGTATTTTGAAGTAATCATTAAAAATGCACCATAAGACAAGCTTATACGTACAATCAGCGAACACCTGTACATACATAAATCATATATATATATATATATATATATATATATGTTGGATGTGATTACAATTCAAGTTTTATGCTTAAAAGACTGGGAAAAATAGGAAAAATGAGTGGGGGGGATTATGTCAATCACTTGTACAGAAGTGCAATCAATGGTCATGAAGTGAAATCAATCCATGTATTGGCAATTTCTTATGCATTTTGTTCTTTAACCTTGAAGGAACATTCTACTTTTTTTGGTCTCTTTTTAAAAGTCGTCTAGAGTTAAACAGTTGGGTTTTATCATTTTTAATCCATTCAGCTGATGTCCTGGTCTGGCAGGAGCAGTTTCAGATTAGCTTAGCTTAGCATAACTTAACATAATATATTAGCATAACTATGTAACAGCTTCATACTATCAAAGCAACTACAGAAGAGTTAAGCTTTGAGTAGGAAGTTCATCAAAACACTTTTTTTTTTCTTTTCTTTTCAGCAAGATGCTAATGGTCTAATCCGATTCAATGAATTATGCTAAGCTAAGCTAAAAGTACTCCTGTTGATTCATAGATTGGCTGAATGTATAAAAAAATGGTCAAACTCAAGTCTAGAGGCCTAAACAAATTGCCTATTTCTTAAAAGTTGGAGTGTTTCTTTAAGTTTCTTTCAAGTTCTGCTTTTAAGTGTTTATATACAATAGGTGCTTTATAGAGACTTGATTGCTTGAATATAAGTTTATATTTCAGCATTTTGACAATACACAGGAACTCCTAAGTAACAAAGAACAAGTTCTTGCATAAGTTGAGTTATGGAAATGCATTTTAAGAGCATACGTTTTAAGTAAAGAGAATGACTTGTTAGAGGCAATTAGTTTGATGATGTAGAATAGTTACAAGCAGGCATTTGAATCTTGAGGCAAGCTGAAATAGCACAATTCAAATAAGGAGGAATTCATTCATTCGAAATTCAATCCAGCTGGCCCATCCTGGACTACAACTTAATTGTTTTATGTTAAATCCACCTATATTAAGGCAATAAGAATAGTAAGTCAACTTAATTCCTTCATGTTGTCCCAACATAAATTGACAGCATTTTTTTTTACAGTGTAGGTCATTTTATTTATTTATTTATTTATTGAATTTATTTATTTATTTATTTATTTATTTATTTATTTATTTATTTATTTATTTATTTATTTGATTACATTGTGTAAAAAGGTAAATCATGAAGACGATGGAAAAAATGAAATAAAAATACATACATATAACTACTACATAGGTGAAAAAGAAGTGCTCTTAAGTATATTACAAATGTACTTGAAATGTAGATAGTATGTTTAAAGCACAATTAACACAAGTAGCATACTTACTTAAAGTGCAATTTATATGTGTTGGTTTGCATTATAATGTATTTATTATAAAGTATACTACAAGTGCATTGGTAAAAAAAAATGCATACTATTAATGCATTCTAATCTATTTACTGAGATCACACTCATTTTATTCTTTGTTTAAGTATGTTTATAAGAACATTGTGAAACAGTGCTAATTTGTGTGTAAAGTGTATGCATGTTATTTTTAATTGTTTGAAACATAATGAAACATATTTTACACTGTTATTGTCAGTTTTCAAGCATTCAAAAACTGTGCGGTTATTTGTGTTTCTTCTGAATAATTTTGTTAATTATTGTTGAAATAAAGTAGGTCTTGTAGTACTCTGCAAATGTATAGTAAGTATAGTAATAACACATTAATGTGAAGCTTACTATTTTTCTTATACTGGGTTTAAATTACACTTCATCTGAACTTAAAGTATACTTCAACTGTGGTTAAAAATATACTGTGTTTCAAATATCATTTACATGTAGTTTAAATAAAATACACTTTTAATAGTACACTTTAATTGAACTTTTTATTAGTTTTAATTGTCCATTTTAATACAACTAAGAATGTTACAACACATTTTAAATAGCTTAATTTTTTTTTTAAGTATATATGAAATAACAATTAATAAGCTTGAAGTTATACCAAAATAACCCATTTAATATCCACTTAGTACAATTAAAATCTGATAATTACGTCTAAAAAATACAACTTAAGTAAACTTTCTTTTCACGTGGGTTATAATAATAATAATAATAATAATAATAATAATAATAAAAATAATAATAATTAATTTATTTAAAAAACAAAATTCAGGAGGTAAAAGAATCACATTATACATTTACCACTTAATTAAACACTTCCAACCTAACACTTGTATGTATAAATGTAGGATTTAAGTCATTTAAATCTCTAAGAAATTTGTATAACGTTTATAAATTTTCAGTTATGAACATAATATAAAGTATAAATAGATTATTTCTGTTTTTTTACATTTTTATTAATGCCAGTAACTAGCATAGTAAAATGAAGACAACAACAATAAAGACAGTCATTTCACAACAAATGCAATTATAATACATACAAAATAATATAATAAGAAAAAAATAAGAGGAAAAATAAATAGGACAGACGTATCAGTGGCATTTAAAAAAAACTATCATAATATTTCAAAAATCTGTCACTTATATCATATTAACAACCACATCAGTAAAATACATGGCATCATCTCTTATTTAACATAGCTGAAATTCTGTTTTATTTGGTGTGATTTTTAATCACATCACTAGCGTTTTTAGTCTGCGTACATCTTGAGCTCCAACGGTAATTAAATTCATCAATACAAAGAGTGCAAATTGCTTCCATTAGTTCCATCTAGAATCCATTTATAAATAAATTTGCCTTTAAAAAGGTCGTTTACTTGTAAATGAGAGTCTGAGTATTGAACTTGGTCACCCGTGGTGATGCCCTCTTAGAGATTCTAGCCGTTTTAGTTCCAACCTTTCCCTAGAGGATTCATAACAA